CTCTCCTTCTCTCACTTTTTCGCTTTTTATCTCGTTCTCTCTCACTTTCTCATTCTCTCTCTCTCTCTCTCTCAATTTTTTTCTTTTGTATTCTCTCTCCCTCTCTTTCTCTCTCTCTCTCTCTCTCTCTTTCTCACTGTTGGACGCTGTTGGTAATAGTCTTCTTAGAGGCCATAACCAATAGAGATTTAATCTACCATCAATTCGAAATGTACAGATCCGCGCCTTTCAAATCTGTCGTGTATTATATTGTGCGCCCAGGCCTTGCACTCGATGTTGATTAATACACCGTCTAAAAGAAAATCAAGGATTCATAATTAATTGAAATATATAATATCAATTTTCTGTAATCATGGTATTAAATATTTTTCAATATATCAAAAGTACAAGAGATAAGAATTCATGATTTATCATATTATAATGTTATTTCACTATAATCATATAATGGATATTGAATGATTAAATAAATTATTTAAAAGATATATAATTTCAACATTTGCTAAAGTAAGATAAGATATCATTTATATTTTTAATCGAATAAAATAAATGTTGATAACGATGTATCATTTTAAATGATGAAGATTCAATGAATTACAAGATTTAATGAATTAATATAATATATTGTTTTATATATTATATCTTAATTAATAGATATAGATATTAGCTTACATTTAGGCTTTTCAAAGAAGACAGCGACGAGCGGACTTAGATAACCCGGTGTATTTGTGAATGGGAAATAATATCCAGGGAAACCACGACGTGGTATATATTGAATAGGACCCATATTTTCAATATCAGCACTATTTTCACCGGCACAAGATACCCAAACGGTGTCTAATCTTTGACCACTTTCTTCCTTTTTAATATGATTTTGAAGGTCAGTCGGCATACCGGTTGGAAGAGTTTTAGTGTCGTTATAAAAATCTGGCATCCATCCAAAGATCTAAAATAGATTTTCAATCGATAAAAGTCATCAAAAAGAATATATATATATATATAATTGGGTTTATTAATTCGAGTGAAAGAAAAAAAAAAGAAACAAGAAAAAGCAGATGCTGTCGTTGTAACCTTGTTCAATTTGAGGAAGATGCAAGGTGCCGATTTGTTGAAACCATATTTTTTCTCCTTCGTGCATTGTCCCCATTGGCTCATATCAACATCACAAACTTTACCAGCTGGCGCAGGTCTTCCATAATCACAGCGGACCCTCTGTTCAGCATCACCACCAGACGTTCCACTCTTTTGGTATTCTAAATGTATATGTAGAAATGTAATAGAGTTGGTTAAATAGAATTATCTATCTGTTAACGAGATTATTCAAAAAGATATATATATATATATATATATAAAGAAAAATAAGAAATAAAAGTTTTACCTTCGAGAAATGCATCCAATTCTTTGGTCCAATGAAGAAAGTTACCTTCGTCGCTAGCTTTGTACCAGATCAGAGTACTTTCAACGTTACTCTCAGGTGGCATCGGCCTGAAACCTAATCCTGGATTGGTACCGATCAACGAACTGTTCAATTGCCATTTTGGTGCTTTTGGATCTAACGTCTGGTAGAAGACGGCCAACATGGCGGCGAAGAAACCACAGAGTACCGCATAGAAAAGGACGTAGAATAAAAGGATCTTGGCTAAAATGTTTACAAAAATAATATATATAATATAAATATATATTTGGTTTTAGAGACAATTATTATTATTGTTTTCTTTTTTTTTTTTTTTTTCATAAATAATTTCATTTTAATTCATGCAAACATACACGAGCAGAAATTTTCTTTTCGATCGTACATACAACAAAGTCGGAAGATATAATTTTATTTGTGTTTACTTTTTTTTTTTTATTTATTTATTTATTTATTTGGTCTCGTTCATACTTCGTTAAAAGTTTGTCCTATCAGACGTGATACTTTTCACAGTCCATCATTTCTAGATGTCATGGTCAAAGGTTGAAAATACAGAGATACAAAGGCAATTATTATCTGACGAGTAATTGACCTGAATTAATATTGTGTAAGCGATGTTAGCTACGCATTTCTGTTCTGACAATAAGAATCGCATGTCTTCGATATTACACACGAAGAATTTTATATCTTCCATTTCATTTCTCATTCAAAATGTATCATTGATATGAGATTTCTCGAATCGAAATATATATTTCTTGATTAAATGATTATTGCATAAATGATTATAGAATTAGACGAATGATCGTATCGATTAGAAAAATTATCCAATAGTTCTTATTTTTCTCATTGTAATCTAAAAAAAGAAAAAAAAAAAAGAAAAAAAAAACAAATCAATTTCGAAATAATATTGTCCTATAGTAATGTTATAGCTTAAATGTTATAGTTCATGTAATAAATCTCTAAGAGAACAGTAGGACAGACCGTACGATCGAATTTATCAAGGTTCCTCTAATGTATTCTTAGACGTTCGAATCTTCGAGTAAATTCTAATTCACGATATCTTCTCGAATATGATTTTTCTTTTTTCTTTTCTATCTTTTTTTTTTCTTTTTTTTTTTTTTTTGATAACAATATGGAAAGATATTATTTCTTAATAGATGCCACGATTTGCAAATAATTGTATAAATTTATTGACATTACATTATAACAATATCATAATGTAATATACATTATAATGTTATAATGTAACAATATTATATATATATATACTATAATAATATTATTATAATGTAATATATAACGGGAGCATATCAAAATTTTTCGAAAAAAAAAAAAGAAAAAAAAAGAGAAAAAGAGAAGAGAGAAAGGAAAAGGAAAAAAAAAAGAAGAAAGAAGGAAAAATAGCGATGCTCTTTGATCTAATAAGACGAAGCTTAAAGAATATAAACACAGTACCAATGACCCACTTTAGAAACGCATTGGTGACTTTTCTAGGTCTGCGACGGCGCTGTGCTTCTGCAGAAAGTTAATCGATATCTCGAAAAGCCGCGCGAAATTCAATCGTTACCTGTCGTAATATACCATCGAATAAGAGATTTCTTTTCTTTTTTTTTCTTTTTTCTTTTTTTTTTTTTATTTATTCCTTCCTCAATTTATTTTTATCGATCGAACGGATATAAAAAGACAAAGAAAAAGTAAACAAGAAAAGAAAAAACATTCCTAGATTTGTTTATTTTACTACGAATTTTAAAGGATTTGTCTGACCTAGTACGGATAGGTTCGTTCGATCGTGTTTCTACAAATGCGCAGGTGGAAACACATATCGTGGCTTACCACTGCGCCATCAGAATAATTCATCTCTATTCTCAGATAACACTTATCATTTATTTTCATTATTTAATGCGTGACGATAATTTTTCTTTTCTTTCCTTTTTATTTTTTGTTTGTTTTCTTTTTTTCTTTTTTCCACAAAAATTTTTAAGGGACACAATGTTTTAAAAATCATCGAAAAAGTCTTTATCCTAATCTTGTTCTTCTCTTTTTTTTTTTTTTTTTTTTTTTGAAATTCAACACAAAATTCAATTGTTACATTGCAATTATGTTACTACAATTTTTCTCCCCACTCATAAAATTTAATTGTTAATTAAATTTTGCTTCGTTTCAGGCAATTATATTATTTCAATTTTATTTATTTATTTTTTTCTTTTTGTTTCTTTTTTCGATGAAATGATGACACACACACACACACACACAAAAGGAAAGATTATAACGTTATGTCACGCGTTAATTGTTGTACGATTATAATACTTCAATTTATATTCATTTAATGATTCCATTTAGAAATCAAAAATCAAAATCAAATTGAAGATGGAGAATGTTTTTTTCGTGACGTTTATTATAGGACAATTTGGATCGTTAAATATTCTGTATGTCGATCGTACTTCGAATTTATGCATAGATCTATCGATACGACAATCTCGATCGACGAGTTATAAAAAATAAATATATTTCGATGGGGAGATCAAACAATGAAAAATTGAACAAATAAAAAGATAAAAAAAAAAAAAAAGAAAAAAAATAGAAAAGGAAAAAAAAAGAAAATAACAAATACTGAAATATAATATGTCATTTGTGACGAAGTCAACGATGATTAGGAGAATAAGCATATAGTATTAGAGAACAATTGCTTAGAATCGATTGCTTCGTTATGACAGATTGTTATAGAAGGCAACTATTACGCTACTACTATTACGTAACGCTCTACTAGTACGATAAGAAAGATTTTACAGAATTGTAAAACAGTCAACACCAAATTAAAATTAATAACAATTTTTTTTCATCTAAGGGATTTTTAAGGCAGGGAAGGAGGGGGAAAAGAAAGAAAAGAAAAGAAAAGAAAAGAAAAGAAAAGAAAAAACAAAGCCTAAGAGTAAGAAAAATAATCACGAAAATAAATTCAAATTAAAAAATTCTTGAAGGTGTATTAATATATCAGATTTAATGAATACGAAAGACTAAACTCGAGACGTATCCCAACGCTATATAATAATTATAATTAAGCGTTTTAATAATAACGATGAAATGACGATCCTCGTTAGAGGAGTACAGGGTCACTTAGGTCACTTTTGGAGATTGACCTATATTAATTAATTATGTATTATTTTTAAATATCATTCTCCATCAAAGTTATATTTAGAAACTCATTCATTTCGTGGTATTAATTTATATCAATAGCCTTTCTTTCCTTTTCCTTTCTCCTTTTTTTCCCCCGTCCCCTTCTATTCCCTTCTTTTTGTTTATTTCTTTAGTTTAACAGGTATTTACGTTTTAAATAAGAAAGGAAGAAACGATTGTATGTATCGAAAAGAAAATGAAGAAGAAGAAGAAGAAGAACGAAAAAAAAAAGAAGACGAAGAGGAAGAAGAAGAGGAGGAGAAGGAGGAGGAGGAAGAGGAGGAGGAGGAGGAGGAGGAGGAGGAGAAAGAGGATCGATTCGGTTCGTTCATTTTTGTCGTAGGTAAAGCCTCAGCCAGTAAAATGGGGCACTAGGGGTAACCAGAGAGAGAGAGAGAGAAAGAGAGAGAGAAAGAGAGAGAGAGAGAGAGAGAGAGAGAGAGTGAGAGAGAGAGAGAGAGAGAGAGAGAGAGTCACCGCCCTTCGCATATAGCTTCCTATTATAGATTAAAGTTACTATGAATCTGTTAAATATCAAAATGGCATTTTCAAACGTAATACTAAAAAGAAATATATAGCTTTGCTACTACAATGAAATGATAAAAGTAGACTTTATCTAAACAGGATATATATATATATATATATATGCACGTAGGATATTCTGATAAGTATATAATATTTCCTTTTGATGTAATGTATTTTTTTCCTAAACTTTTAGCTGATAAAAGCGAAGGAAAAGAATTATATACAGTTCGTAATATATGATTATTTAATAAAAATAAGAAAAGGAGGAAAAAGAGAGAGAGAGAGAGAGAGAGAGAGAGAGAGAGAGATTTTGTAATGATCGAATAAATCAATGCCTATGAAAAAAAAAAAAAAAAAAAAAAAAAAAAAGAAAAAAAAGAAAGGAAGAAAGAAAAAAGGAGGAAGAATTATATAACAAAAAAGAATTCGTGATATCTATAAAGTGTCATTTAAAAAAGATTTTTTTTCTTATTTAAAGTCAAAAGACATAAGAGAGAACAGGAATAAGCGGAAGGGGGAGCTGCGTTACATAACAACCCCATTTCCAAAATGGTGATGGACCGATATATATATATATAATGTAGAACAGAAGAGTCTACTATAACTAATGATTCCCTTTTATTATCGGTTATTCGAGAAACACGTAAATCATATAACTCTTTTCTCTCGAATATTACCGATTATTATAAATAATATATCTACTGTACTTTAAAATTTATATATATATAAATATATACAAAAAAAAAGAAAAAAAAAATAGAAATAAGACATTACGTTAAAAAGGTATGATATAAATCAGGAAAAAAAAAAAAAAGAAAAGAAAAAACTTACCCCAACTTGCACCGGTACGTCCAAGAAATTGTCCGGTTTCCGAATTCCATAGAAAGACCCTGAAGCCTTCCCATTTACCGAGCTTTGGCGGTGGACTGTAATACTGTTCGACTTTCTTTCCTTCCATTTCGTTAAGTCAAAAGATGAATTATTGGAAGTCTTCCTTATTCTTCCCTCTTTTTCTTTTTCTCACTTCTTCTGTCTTAAACTGCTATCCCAGTTCCTCCTGCGTCTCTTTCTGTGTCCGAAATATTACGGCAAGCAAAGAGAACGCTAAGGGAGGAACGGTCGATTCGAGTAGGGTCGAAGCAGAAGCGGCAGCAGCAGTAGCAGCAATAGCAGCAGAAGAAGAAGAAGAAGTAGTAGTAGCGTTCTCGTCCAGCCACCAAGGGATGAATATTGAGCGGTTCGGAACGGAGTTGCCTCGGAGCTTTTCAAGGCGCCCCCTTCCTCTAATCCTGGAACGCGTTTCAATTCAGCATGCGCAGACGGACGCTAAACGATTGAGGGGAATCTTTCTCCTCTCCTCTCTCTCTCTCTCTCTCTCTCTCTCTCTCTGTCTCTATCTTTTTCTCTCTTCATTCCTCTTAGTTTCTATACGAGGACACTTGGCTAAGATCAGCTGGATTGATCTTTTTTATTACGACAAATATTTTTTTATATCAGTCATTAATATTTCTCTTTCGATTTCATTTTGTTTTCTTGATTAGTCTATTTTCTTTTATCTTACTTTCCTTTCTCTTTTATTTTTTTTTTTTTATTTTTTGACGACTATTTTTTCTTTGTTCTCTCTCCCCCTCCCCCCATCTTTTTCTCTCTCACTCTCTTTCTCTCTCTTTCTTTTTTCTTTTCTTTCTTATATCCCTTCTCTCGCTATAGACCAACACCCCTTCATACCCCTTGTTTCCTTCAATCCCTGTTTAGACGTACGTCGTTTCGATCGACCAACCCCCTCCGATTCTCGTTCATCAAAAGCGGCGCCTCCTCGTGGGAGATTCTTCGATGACGACGACGACGACGATGATGATCTTTCTACCATCTTGAAACAGGACTAATGGATTTGTTTGTTGAATTAGAGAAATATCAGAGAGAAAGAGAAAAAGAGAGAGTAAGAGAGAGGGAGAGAGAGAGAGAGAGAGAGAGAAATAGAAGGAGAGGGAGAGAGTGTTTAAGCAAATTGCTTGTGCATGCATGCCGACCAAATATAGATTATAACGTGTGTTAGATTCTTCTTGTAAATTCTTTTTTCTTTCCTTTTTCTTTTTTTCCTCTTCTAATATTTGTAATATTATTGGACATTAATGGAATATTTTGAGTCAATTGTTACGAACTGTTTTATTTCACATTATCAAATAATTTCTCGATACGTTTGATTATATTTGACGAATAAAACGAATATATCTTCTTTATTGACGATTATCATCGAAATATCCGACACTAAGATTGACCTGAAATTTAGATATAAATCTTGATATTTAAAAATATAACACCGCATTTTTTATAATAAATTAAATTAATATATTACGAAAGATATATCCATATATATAAATATATATATATACACACTAGAGATCCAATTAACTAATCAACACGTTAAGCATATTTAAAAAGATTTAAAAAATTAGTATAGTTCAATTACATTTTGTTATCTTTGCAAATTATCAGTTTCTATTCTTGCATACGAAGATAAAGCAATGTTAATGTTATTTCTCATTACGAATGTTTATGATAGGATTAAAAAAAAAAAAGAGAAGAAAGAAAGAAAAAGAAAAAAAAAATAGTAAAACTATCTCACATTTATCGTTACTCTTAAATTTACAATATTTGTTATTACGATTGATAAATTTCAAACTAATGAAAAATCTTATTCCTTTTGCCATTTATTTTTCAACTTCAATGGAACATTTATCTGAATTGTTTTTCTTCTTTCAAAGCAAAAAAAAAAAAAAAAAATAAAGAAGGAAAGTTAAATTCAGACAGAGTTTATGATGAGCTTTAACGTTCTTACGTTAAGTTAGCAAAGAAATAGAATTATCAGGTACTCCGTAAGAGATTATACGAGAAAGAATTTTTATTACATGTTTACACAAAATAAAAGACATAATAATATCAGCCACATCGTTGGTAATAATCATTCGTATGTATCTCATTGTCAGAAAAAAAAAGAAAGAAAAAAAAAACATATCGGCACGACTGTTATTATCTTTTTTATCTTAACAAATAAATTAAATAATATATTTAAAAAATATTTATATATATATATATATATATATATATATATATATATATGTACTATACATATATATATTTGTAAAAAGATCCGTCGTAGATCAGTAGATCTGCAAAACTGGCGTCACTTTTGGTTGGTAACGTTTTTTATTAAATATTTCATTACAGGAGGTTAAAATATTTATAATGCATTCAAATAACAGAATTTACAAATATATCTCAATATTTCCATACATATACATATATATATACATATATATATACATATATATATATATACGATATATAATATATATACACATATATATATACGATATATAATATATATACACACATATATATATATACATATATATATACATATATAGTGTGTATATACACATCACATATTTGTATGTAAACTTTACTGTTACTTGTTGTTCTTTCTTTTTTTCTCTCTTTTGTTTAATTTTTAATCTTTCTCTCGTACATAAGCATAATTCGCACTCGTCGCGTGTGCACGCGTTTATTAATTAAACGCACGATTCACACATACACACAAACGCCGTTCCATATTATTATCTTCTCCTCCCTTCATCTATATCCATTTACTCTTTCTCTCACTCTCTCTCTCTCTCTTGCTTTCTCTCTCTCTCTCTCATATATATATATATATATATATATATATATATATATATATATATCCATTCATAATTTCTAATACATAATATGTATATGTATATATCTTATGTACATATGAAATGGAGTTGCACGAAAATGTTACCCCATACATAGAGATGTTTCTCTTTGATTTCTAATGTCTGTCATATACACATACACACACACACACACACACACACACACACAATGATTTCCTAAAGAGATAAACTCAAAAAATCTGACACATGTATATATATATATATATATATGTATATGTATGTGTATATATATATATCCTCGCAGCATGAGCGCCCATTTGTTACGGCCCTTTTTAATCAGTCCTTCTTGCATTCGTTGCACAATGCTTCATCTTTTTTTTTTGTATTTTTTGTTTTTCTTTTTTATTCTTTTTATTATTATTTTATATCAATACCACACGTACTATCTCTCTCTCTCTCTCTCTCTTTTTTTTTATATCACTCATCCTTCTTTCTCACAATTTATTATTATTATTATTATTATTATTATTATTATTATTATTATTATTATTATTATTATTATTATTATTATTATTATTATTATTAGTAATTTTTCGTTTGTTTCATAATAATTTTATTTAACATACCAAACCACATTCGAGTTACTAATGACGTTTCTCTTATTAAAAACAACATTCCATTCTATCATATTTTCGACAGGAGCAATAATCCTAAAAAGGATTGTATTCATAACTCCTTTTTCTTCTTCTTGCTGCTTTTCGTTAATTTATTTATTTTTTTCTTTTTCCCTTCTTAAGGACATATTGTCTTTGTTAAATGTCGATTTCGTGCTATCTCTCACGAGTTTTTCTTCGTCCGAATATAAACAGCACTTTTTTTGCATTATTTCTTTCATGTCGTGATTTAATTATTTTTTTTCGGTTCATATATATACATATACATATATATATGTATATATATATATATATATTGCTATATAGGACAACGATGTGTGTGTTTGTTCGTTCTCTCTCTTTCTCTCACTCTCATCTTTATACATTGTAATTTTAATAATCGCATTAAGTCACCGGGCCGACGATAACAACATCGAGAAATGGCCGTGTGAAGTGTATGTGTTTACATATATATATGTATATATATATATATATATGTTTGTGTATGTGTATGTGTGTACCTATACGTATATATGTATAATATATGTAGTAAGTTTGTTGCTCGAATTAAATTAAATGTTCTCTGTACAAATGACATATTTTTCATTGCTGCATAATTACACCCCTGTATGTGTGTACGTATGTATGTCAAAAAATTATTTAAAAATTAATTAAGTCTGTGCTCTGTTCGTGTATGTTTATGTTAATATATATAATATAAATATATACATATATTTATATATACATATACATATTCACAAATATATATATATATATATATATATATATATATATATATATGTATATATATATATATATATTACTTCGATTTTATCTCGCATTATCAATCTTCTTTTATTATTAATAATAATTATATTGTAAAAAGTACATCTTTTTTCTTTCTTTTTTTTTCTTTTCTTTTTTTTTTTAATAATAATAATAATATATCTCTCATAGCATAGATTCGTTTATTTCTTATCATAAGAATGATCATGAATTATTTGTATACACGTATATCTATGTTTAATTTTGTATGTGTAGTATATATGTGTGCGTGCGTGCGTACGCGGATGTGTTAAGTGACATATACACGTTACATACATATACATATATATATATATATATATATATATATATATATATGTATACATATATGTATATATATATATATATTATATATTATTTGTATGAAGAATAAGATAACGATTATAGTAATAAGATATTAACAAAACGATCACCGGGACAAGAAAATTCTTTTTTTCTTTTAAGTTTGTCGTTGAAGTTTAGAATAGCACCCATATATGTATGTATGTATGTTATGCATTTATGTATGTATGCAATATCAATTGAAACATTTTATCACTTAACAATTAATTCAAAATATCAATAGCGCAAAAAATAACATCAGAGAAGAGATAGAAGCGATATAAAAGCAATCAAGGCAACGCATTATATAATCAATATTTTTTTTTTTCCCCTTGTATAATTTCACATATTAAATATTGTAATAATAATATGTGGCACTTTACCACTCTCTTTTTCTCTCTCCCACTTTGCAGTATTTGTTTATTTATTATTTATATATTTTTTTTTTTATTTGCAAGGAAAAACTTTTTTTTTCTCACTCTCTCTCTCTCTCTCTCTCTCTCTCTCTCTATCTCTCTCCCTCTCTTTTTCTTTCTATCTGTCTATCATTTCTTCCTTCTCTTTTTTTTTTCTTTTATCTCTTAAAAGCGAGCGAAAATTGTTGACAAAAACATTTATAGAAACACATATATGTCAATGTTATAATTATCTTCAGTTATTATTATCATTATCGGCTATTATTTATTGATTTATTCATTCATTCATTCATTCATTTATTTATGTCTTTTTTTCTTTCCTCAAAATGATAATAATAATAATATTTATTGTGCCATTTTTCATATTATCGTTCTA